CCTTTGGGTATAGATTGAGGAATGGGACAGCTGGGTCAAATGGTGGTTCCATTCCCAGCTTTCCAAGGAATCTTCATACTGCTTTCCATATTGATTGCACCAATTTGCAGTCCCACCAACAATGTATGAGTGTGCCCTTTTCCCCACATCCTAGCCAACCCTTGTTGTTGTTTATATTCTTAATAGCTGCCATTCTGACTGGAGTGAGATGAAATCTTATAGTAGTTTTGATTTGCTTTTCTCTAATAGCTAGAGATGTTGAACATTTTTTCATATATTTGTTGATTGGTTGTATATCATCTTCTGAGAAGTGTGAGAGATAGGAGTTTAAATTCATTTTGTTGCATATGGATTTCCAGTTCTCCCAGCACTATTTGTTGAAGAGATTATCTTTTCTCCAATGTATGTTTTTGGTGCCTTTGTCTAATATAAGATAACTGTAATTATGTTGGTTAGTCTCTATTTCTGTGAGGAATGTCATTTGTTATAGAGGTCTTTCACTTCTTTTGTTGATTCCAAAATGCTAGAAAAACTAGTGATATCAGAAACATATCTCAACATTGTAAAGGCTATCTATGCTAAGCCCCAGGCCAATATCATTTTAAATTGAGAAAAATTGAAAGCATTCTCTCTAAAAACTGGAACAAGATAGGATGCCCTCTTTCACCACTTCTTTGTAACATAGTTCTTGAACCTCAACCCAGAGCAATCAGACAGATGAAAGAAATTTAAGGGATACCGATAGGAAAAGACGAACTCAAATTACCACCAAATTATTGGTGATATGACTCTATACCTAGAAGACCCAAAAACTTCCACCAGAAATCTTCTAGAACTAAGAAATGAATTCAACAAAAGTAGCTGGATATAAAATCAACAGCCATAAATCAAAGCCATTTCTGTACATCAGTGACAAATCCTCAGAAAGAGAAACTAGGAAAACTACCCCATTTACAATAGCCTCAAAAAATAAAATAAAATACTTGGGAATCAACTGAACAAAAGAGGTGAAAGACCTTTACAATGAAAACTACAGCAAGCTAAATAAATAAATTAAAGAAGACCTTAGAAGATGGAAAGATCTACCTTGTTCTTGGATAGACAGAATGAATATTGTCAAAATGACCATACTACCAAAAGCACTATACAGATCCCATGCAATCCCAATCAAAATTCCAATGACATTCCTCATAAAAATAGAAAAAGCAATCATGAAATTCATCCAAAAAAATAAAAAATAAATAAGAGCCAGAATAGACAAAGCAATCCTTAGCAGGAAAAGTGAAGCTGGTGACATTTCTATTCCAGATCCAAACTATATGACAGAGAAATAGTAACAAAAACATCATGGTATTGGCACCAAAATAGACTTGTAGACCAATGGTACAGAATAGAGAGCACAGAAATTAAACCTCTATCTCTCACCATGCACAAAACTCAAAACAAAGTGGATCAAAGACCTAGGAATTAAACCAGAGACCTTGCACCTAATGGAAGGAAAAGTAGGCCTAAATCTCCATCATGTAGGATTAGGCCTCAACTTCTTAATAAGATTTCTATAGTGCAAGAGTTAAAGCCAAGAATTAATAAATGGGATGGATTCAAACTAAAAAGCTTCTTTTCAGCAAAAGAAACAATCAGTGAGGTGAATAGTGAGCCTACAGAATGGGAGCAAATTTTTACCACAAGCACATCAGATGGAGCACTAATCTCTAGGACATATAAAGCACTCAAAAACTGTGGACTGGGGATGTGGCTCAAGAGGTAGCGCGCTCGCCTGGCATGCTCACGTCACTGGGTTCGATCCTCAGCACCACATAAAAATAAAATAAAGATGTTGTGTCCACTGAAAACTAAAAAAAAAAAACCTTAACACACACACACACAAAAAAAAAAAAACAAATAACCCAAGCAATAACTGGGCCAAGGAACCTGAACAGACACTTCTCGGAAGAGGATATACAATCAATCAACAAATATATAAAAAAATTGTTCAACATCTCTAGCAATTAGAGAAATAAAATCAAAATTACTCTAAAGATTTTATTTCACTCCAGTCAGAATGGTAGCTATTAAGAATACAAACAAAAATAAGTGTTGGCGAGGATGTGGGGAAAGGCACACTCATACACTGCTAGTGGGACTGTAAATTGGTGCAGCCAATATGGAAAGCAGTATGCAGAATCCTTGGAAAACTGAGAATGGAACCACCATTTGATTCAACTGTCCCACTCCCCAGTCTACACCCAAAGAACTTAGAAACAGCATACTACATGGACACAGTGACATCAATGTTTATAGCAAACAATTCACAGGTAAATGGATGGAAATGGAGAATGTCATGCTAAGCAAAGTAAGTCAATCCCCCAAAAAACAAAGGACAAATGTTTTTTCTGGTAAGTGGATGCTGATCCATAATGGGGGTTGAGGGGAGTGAGAATGGAGGAACTTTGGACCAAGGGGAGGGAAGATACAGATAGGAAAAATGGTTGGAATGACATGGACATCATTACCCTAGGTACATGTATGACTGCACATGTGGTACAACTCTACATCACATACAACTGGAGAAACAAAAAGTTGTGCACCATTTGTGTACAATGAATCGAAAAGCTCTCTGCTCTCATGTATAGCTGATTAGAACTAATAAAAAATAAACTAAAAAGAAACACCACCTCTATTCTTCATAAATTACTCAGCCTGTGGTCTTCCATTGTAGCAATAAAAAACAGAGATAGACAGGACTCCTGTGGGAAGCAGAGATCAAGAGCTCAGGGTTGAGCCAGAGCCAGACACACTATGTCTCAGGGGACCTTGCTTCCCTCCAACCCCAGAGAAAAAACAAACAGTGGCAATTCCTCCTCATGGCTGTTGGAAATGAGGTTACTGGGAGAAACTACTACTGGTATAGTCCTTTGACTAACAGGTTCTTTACCTCCCATCTTGTTCCTTTCATTCCTTTGTTATTAATAATCACATCTTACTTTTCAAACCACAAACCCAGCACAGAACGTTATTCCAATAGAAGCTGCTATGAAGCTGCAGTATGAAGAAATGCATGACCTGACTCACTAGTGCAGTTGAATAGGATACAGTTTCCCCTGCCCAAGTCTCAGGTACTCCCAAGGGGGGATCCAGGAAAGGCCCTAGCCACAGCAAGGAAGGCTATGTTTGGGGGAAAAAAAAACATTACTTGCTACCCTTAGGTTTAAACTCTGGATGGAAGAGCTCTATAAGCCAGGGCAGTGCCATATCACTCCATGCCAGAGCACACACTACATGCTGCCTTTAACCACAGGATGCACAGGAGAGAGGAGAGAGCATCAGGTTTACCTAGTTATTGGAGAAAGAACATTGAAGATACCAAATGGATGATCAGATATGACAATGAAAGACTTAAAAATTATTGTATTGACCAGGAAGAAAGGTATGCAGCATCCGAGCTACGGATCCAACATCAATCTGCAAATTACCGAAATGAACTGGCACAGAAAGAAGTTGAAATTAGGCAACTGAAAGCAAGACAGTTTGTACTAGAGGATGAGTTGTTGCAACTGAAGTCCACAGGCTTTCCTTAGTTAGCTGGTAAAGCAGACAGCCTGATATTTCAGAAAAAAATAGGAGGAAAGCAACATTTCCTGTATACATCTGCTTTAAAATCATAGCTTAAAATCTATGCTTCAAGTGGGTAAGTAAATAAATAAGATTAGGACTTACTTATCAGAAAAAAATTAGAAGTCCCAATTTCATAAATAAGTCTAAGTCATATAAGAAGTCCTAGACTGTAAATAAGTCAAGTCTCGTCTCATAGCAAGAAGATCTCATTATACAAATCAAAAAAGTACATTAGGTTGACAAGGTATACATATGGAAAAGGAGTCTCTGATCTTCAATATCATCCTCCCCAGCCCAGTAGTAATGAGCCCTTTCCCTGCTAATTGGTGATGCATTGATTTGGGGACTTGCATTCACATTCTTGCCTTCAGTATGGTTTAGATTAATAGTGTCCAATACATTGAATAATTTATTTATAATCATTATATAATGGTTAATACAATATGAAATTGTTCTTTCTAAAACAACAAAAAACAGTCATCTTGTTTGGTGTTGGGGGAATTAAACCCAGGACTACATACCTGGTAGGCAAATGCTCTACCACTGAGATACACTCCTAACACATTAAAAAAAATTGTTTGGGGGTTGGGGCAAGAGCTCTGTGGTAGAGCTCTTGCCTGGCATGCATGAGGCATTGAGCGCGATCCTGAGCATCACATAAAAATAAAATAAAGGTATTCTGTCCATCTATAACCAAATATATATATAAAAATATATATAAAAATATATATATATATATATATATATATATATATATAATATTAGTTTTGACACCTTCCTAATGTATCAAGATACGTGAGTTCAACATGGAAGGAAGGTGACAAAGCTGATTTAATACATGAAGAAGTTGGATGTAACTTGACTTTTGCTGTAAAGATATTAATTACCAACATAGAAAAAGTAAAAATTATAAGATGGTCCCTAAGTAGAAGACACCTTACCAGCAAGGTTATATTTCTTGCCATTCCTCTATGTCTTTAATTTCATTTTCATGACTTAAGACATTAGATAGAAACTCAGTAAGATGTTATAAAAGGAGTAGTAGGAGAGGATACCCTTGATTGTTGGTGATCTTAGTGGGAAAGTTTCAAGTTTATTATCATTCAGAATGTGGGAGGGGTGATATGGCAGCCAGCGCCCAGGTGGCAGGGGCAGCTTGCCAGCTGGGAAAACTTACTAACACTGGGCTAGAAGTCACCCAAGCCCGAGGGTGGAAAGTGGAGAGAAGAAGCCCAGGCCCCGTGGGGGTGACTGGGCCACTGGCGGCTAGTCACTGGCGAAAGCCCAGGCCAGGCCTCTGCATTTCTAGGCAGGAAGCAACAGTTGGCAGGAGCCCCGCCCTGCACAGAATTCTGAGTGTTTGGGTCATAATTGAACCCCCAACATTCCAGGAGTTTCAGAGCAGAGGTGGATAGAGACGGAGGTGGTTTTCAGAGTGGGTCTGATGGCTCACTGAAATTGGGAAGATGTCACCCTGGTTTAGAGGCCTAGGCTCCAGCTTGGACCACTCCTTAGGTCAGGTGGGGGACAGCTTGGCTTCCCTCACAGGCCATAAGTCCAACGTCACCGAGGATGAGGTTCTCGACAATTTTGAGGATGTAGAAGCAGGTTTACCTAGTTATTGGAGAAAGAACATTGAAGATACCAAATGGATGATCACATATGACAATGAAAGACTTAAAAACTATTGTACTGACCTGGAGGAAAGGTATGCAGCATCCAAGCTACGGATCCAACATCAATCTGCAAATTACCGAAATGAACTGGCACAGAAAGAAGTAGAAATCAGGCAACTGAAAGCAAGACAGTTTGACCTAGAGGATGAGTTGTTGCAAGTGAAGTCAGCTGCCCAACCACTGCATTCAGGAGCTGGTGGTGTACCATCAACCACTGCCCTGTCTTCATTCGGTCATGACATCAGTCATGGTTCAGCTTTTGTAGGTGATGACATGGACTTCAGTGACATCATTTCTGCATAACAAGAAATCAACAGACTGTCAATTGAAGTTTCAAGACTCGAATTCGAAGTTGGCCATTGGAGCGCTATTGCTCAGGCACAGCAAACACATAATTCAGATCAAAGTGAAATCTGCCAACTACAAAATACTATTAAGCGACTTGAACAAAACCAAAATCAAGACCTTGATAATCACCAAGGTGAAATTGCAGTTTTACAAAATGTACATCAACAGAAACTGGCAGAGATGAGTCGCCTGTATCGAGAGGAAATAAATGACTATGAAGAAAGAATTAAAAAACTTGAAAATCAGTTACAACAAGGTGACTCGGGAGTAACAGTAACTGATGAGTCTAAAATCTGTGACTTGCAAAAAATGATTCAGGTTCTACAAACTGAAAAACTAGAGTCTGCCAGGAAGATCGAAGAACTTGAGGATCAACTAAAAGACATAAATGAACAATTATCTTTGGCACAAAATGACACAGAGGTCTTGAAGAGAGAAAAAGAGCAGCTCAGTGTGGAAAAGCAACAAATAATGGAACAGTGTGAAACCTTGAAGCTGGAATGGAGTCAATCGCAGCCTTCTGTGATGGAGCAGAAAGAGGAGGAAATTGGGAATTTGCGGAAAACCAGTGAACAAATAAAAGCCCAGTTGCAGGAAGACACACACAACACTCCAGCAGACAATTCTGATAGTTTTCAAAAAACAAAAGTTAAAAGTTTTCGTATAGAAAACAGAAGTGAAAAACAAGACCTGTGTAACCATGAAACTGTAAAAGGAGTGAAAGGAATCCAACAACAGGAACTTGAAATTCAACTTGTAAATGAAAAGAGTAGATTTTTAACCAACCAGATTGATCAGCTGTCTGAAGATGAAGTTGGAAAACTCACTCAAGCTATCCAGCAACAAGCTCTTCAGGCTAAAACTGATTCAGGAAAACTTGATATGATTCCACCCCAGCTCTTGGCTGCGTCATCATGTACCTCCCAGTCATCAGAGGTCAGAGAGCTGAGACACTCACTGCAAGAAAAAGAGGCCACCATTAGGATGCTCCAGGAAAATAATCACAGGTTGTCTGATGCAACTGCTGCTGCCACAGACAGAGAAAACAAAAAAATATGAAGAAATGGATTCCGAAATTAAACAGCTAAAGGAAGAACAAGATGTGTTAAAAACTTTACTGAAGGAAAAAGACCTCTTCATCCAAGCCAAAAGTGATCAGTTTCTTTCTTCTGTTATAGTTAAAGCTTTGTCCCAGGGTTTCATAAACTGACTTCCAGACCACTCACGTATAATCGAATCAAGCCTTTATTGAAGCACACCAGTGGCAGCTGACCAGAACATAAAGCTGTTCCCCTGATCAGCCCTGAACAATTGCAAGGGCACTCCTTATAAGCCTGAAAACCGCAAAAGGGATGTTCAGGGGGTCTAGCCAATGCAAGCAAGCCAGGTTACAGAAGCAGGACAGTGCAGTCAAGCGGAGGGAAGCCTAACCAATCACATTTAGCCCAGTCACCCCAGTTACAGAAACAGAGCCCCATTACCCTAGTTACAGAAACAATGCCCCATTAGGTAGTTCCAGTTCTTAAAGGTTTCAATAGCAAAAGGAAAAGAACATCTTGCCCCAGTCATGACTCTTCTACTTGGCATGGTTGTTTACAGGATGAAGTTATAAAACAAAATGGAGTCACATTTGCTCCTACTATCACACTTCAAATGAAAAGCTCACTGACAAAGTGAATGAAAACGAGTTGTTGAGGCAAGCAATAACAAATCTAAAAGAGAGAATATTAAATTTAGAAATGGTCATTTCTCAACTCAAAGGGGAAAATGAAAAAATGATAGAAACATCCCAAGAAAAAGAAATGGAGTATCAAGCATTACAAGAGATGAACATGAAGTTCTCTGTGGTCCTGCTAGAACAAGAGTACGAGTGCCAGTCCATGAAGGAGCAAGCTCTTGCCTTTGAGCAGCTGTTACTAGAAAAAGAAGATGGCAAGGCTGGGGACTTCAGTCAGCTTTTAAAAGCACTTGAATCCATGCAGGAGAAGACCTTCTTTTTTCAGCAGGAGAGAGACCAAGTCACCTTGTCTCTAAAGCACCAACAGATGGCACACCGGACCTTAGAGCAAGAAGTTCAACACTTACGTGACAAAGAATTACACTTAAAGCAGGAGGTACAAAGCCTGAGGAGCCATCTTCTAGAATCAGAAGATTCTTACAGCCGGGAAATTGGGGCTGCAGAGAAGAGAGAGAGGAACCTGAGAGAGAAAGTCACACTATTGGAGGAAAAGCTGCTCTCCTCTTCTAATGCAAGTCATCAAGCCAGTGTGCAGGTAGAGTCCCTGCAGAAACAGGTGCGTTTCCTCTCCCAAGAGAGGGATGAGAATGCACTGCAGCTTTCGCTCTACCAGGAACAAGGAAAGCAGTATGCCATGTCACTCACTAACCTGCAAAAGGTTCTAGAGCATTCCCAACAAGAAGAAAAAGCTATGTATTCGGCTGAATTAGAGAAGGAAAGACAACGTACCACCAAAAGGAAGGAAAAGGCAGAAAATCTAGAAAGAGAGGTATCGTTATTACAAGAATGCTTGGATGAAGCCGACCGTGTGTTGGATACAGCAACCAGACCTACACAACACTTCCATCAAAATGAAGAACAGATCGAACAAAGTGAGCTCCCACGAGAAATATTGGACGATGCCCAAAAGAAATGGATGAGCTCGGAAAATGGCACAGAAGGAAAAGTGGACAAAGCCCTAATGAGAAACCTGTTCATTGGGCATTTCCAGACACCGAAAAATCAGCGTCCCAAAGTGTTAAGGTTAATGGGAAGCATCCTGGGCATTCAAAAGGAGGAAATGGAGCAGTTTGAATGGAGACGATGGTGGTGTTACTAAGTGGATGATGGGATGGCTTGCAGGAGGATCCCAATGTGTCCCCAACACACCTTTGACACCAAATGAGCAACCTGGGCTGAAGAGTTCTTTTTCAGAACTTTTTGTCCAATTTCTGGAAACAGAATCTCATTCATCCATTCCATCACCAAAACTTTCTGCTCATGCCATGAAGTGTCTAGACTCCAGAGGAAGGAGAAAGGAACGTGCCAATGTACCAAGAAGTGTGACAGACACAGCAGAGTTCAGAGCTGGTAAAAGAGAGGCTGTGAATCCATTCTTGGCATTGCGTTCTGCGGTTGTGCCACTGGTTAGCCTAGCTGGACTTGGACCTGGTGGACCTGGGAATCTCCTTTTGAAACCCATCTCAGACTTCATGACCACCTTTACACCATTGCCAGTGTCGCTGGACAATAGCGCCAGGGTTGTACTAAAGGACCTTTGAAAGCAATTCAAAGTGATTCTCAAGCCAGAGATGAGTTAGCACTTTAAAGTATAAATAAATATTTTGTTCTTTTTATGAGGTGGCCTTTTCAAAGAAAAGAAGTGATGTATTTGTAGGGGCAAAGAAAAAAGTTGATACATAAAGTTCCAGGTATTTTGTCTCCCCCTCCCCATTTTTAGTGTTGTTTGTTTGCTGTAGCACTGTTTTAAAATAAATTTTTCTTTGTTCACTGTAGTCCTCTTTTTCATGTGATATTTTGCTCTGATGCTATCAGGTAATCAACAGCAATAATAACCATAGCTTCAACCCCCCTTTTTTAGGATTATATTTGTTACATTTAATTATATTAAGATAAAAATGATACATTTATATGTCAGACAGAATAGAAGAAAAATCCAACCCATATGAAACCCACATGAAAAAGATACATACCTCAGAATTTGGGATAGCTAAAAACAAAATATGATGTAGCAAAAAGTTGTAAATTCTTTAGTTTATAAAAGAAATCACTGTATAACTACTAAATGAAAATTACAGTGGGAAGGGCCTGAACATGAATTTTAGTAGATAAATTCTAAGATTCTTTTAATACAAATACCATGACAGCTATCCATTTTACTTCATTCTATAAAAAAGTAACTTGACATTCATTTCATTTTCTAGATGTTACATATGTCCAGAAGGAAGATGACTTTTGTCAGTCAGACCCAAAGTATAATCACATGCATCCTTTTTAATTTGTAAGAATGTATCATTAAATATCTGGACTGTTTACATATTTTGCTGGGCCCTTCAGTAATGCTTATAAACACATTTTTAAAAACATTTGATCAAGAAAAAAAGTGGGGTAGAGAAATAAAACATTACAGAGTTTTGAAAGATGAAAAAGTGAACAAAGGGTTAGTTAAATCCTTTTTTATTTTGGTAAGTTAAGGTAAAAGATAAATCAAAAGTTTCTAGCTTAAGTCAGGTGATATCAGAGAAGTGAAAAAGCAGATTATGTAGCAAATGCTTCTCTGACACCTGTAATTTCTAAAACCATTAAGAACATTTTTATTAAAATTAATTCAAATGAAATTTAATATAAATTAAATTATTTGAAATAAATCATATAATTTATTATGAATTAATTTCACTAATTTATTTAATAATTTAATTATGAATTTAATTGATTTCATTTATTTAATTCATTTTATTGATTTTATTTATTAATTTAATAAAATTAATGATTTACATTTAAAATTTTATTGATCTTTTTAAAGATTATTTTAAAAATTAATTTTAGTAAATTTTAATAGAAATCAAATTATTTAAAATCCATTATATAATTTAATATGAATTTTAATAATAATTTAATTTTGATAAAATGTTCTCAATGTTTTTCAAAATTGCAGGTGTCAGAGAGCTATTTGCTGTATAATCTACTTTTTTCTCTTCTTCGATTTCACCTAACTTGAGATGGAAACTTTTGATTCATTTTTTATCTTAATTTACAAAAATAAAAAGTGAAGACAAAATACCTAGTGGCTATATAGATCAGACAAGAAAGTGGGAAGACAGTAGAGTACATAAAACAAACACACATATATATCAAAAAATTAAAATAAAAAATGTTAAAATATCAGAAATTGGTGAATGAATAAAGAAATAGAAAAATAAAAAGAATGTACAACACAACTCAAATATACTATTCAGACATCCCAGTTCTCAAAATCCTAATTCAGGCAATGTACTAGGCTTCACACATGTTGGGGATGTGAGGGCAGGAGACAGGAGAGGGAGAAGGGGAAAAAAATCTTGAAGGAAGACAAAGGGCTTGTTTTGCTTGGGGATCAGTATCTTTCCTGCTTCCCTTCTCATCTGATAGGTGGTGTCCCCTGTAGTTAGCTGGTATCTCCACCCTCAGGGTGGTTAAGGTAATTAGAGTGTCACTGTGCCAGGTTAGTGGCTGCTGGAGAGAGGGGGAGTTAGAAACTGGGTACGTGGAAGATGGTGATGAAGGTGACCCAAGATGGAGGCTCCTGCTTTCAGCAGTGGGGTGTCAGGTCGGGTGGGGGGAGCCAGGAGATGGTGGCAGAAAATGAGTTCTGTGACCAACTCCATGGCTTGCAGTGTTGGCTGACATCAGAGCCTGTGTGAAGTTCCTGGTTGCAGGCAGACTACTGCACATAGGGGACTGTGTCCACTGTTGCAGGGTCCCAACCAAGATGGTGGTGACTGGGGGAAGCCCACATTGGTAAATGGGGTTCACATGGGGATGATGACCACAGTTTCTACTCATGGGAAGCTGCCAGGTGTTCTCCATGGGAGCGGCATGTGTGCTTTCTGCTCCCATAGATGGCTGAAAGTTCTTTGAGGGTGCTGCTTCAGCTGCCTATGGTCCCACTTGGGTACCTGGTTGCCCTGCCTGGGTGAGTAGTTGTGACCCTGAGGTTTGGAGCCCTGAACAAATGCAGAGGGCAGGAATAAGCTTGCAGAGAAGCAGTAGTCTCACTACTTGCATCCCAGGTCACAGGGCAATGCAGAATGCTGCCTCCCTCTGGCCCACCATCTTGGATCCAGAAATAGAAACCTTTGTATAACAAGGTGAAAACAAAACTAGTCCAAAGATGTAAAGAGGTCCGACTCCAACTAGAACAAAATTTGATTGTCAATTTTGCCATGATTAACTGCATCTTTCTAATGTATTTAGGAGATAGGAAGTTTTGATTATGTGTTAATGGTTAAAACTATTTTTCCAAAAAATTAACAGGTGACACTGATTCACACAGTCTAACCTCTCTTCTTAACTAACTTATATATTGCCATTCTTCCATACATTGAAAAGGAAGTTCCCATAGCTGTCCATATGAGAAATGTTCAACTGCCTCCTGAGCTCTGCCCAGTTGGCATCATAGATGCTCCTCTAATTAACCCCACCATACACAATTTAAACAGATCAATTTCAAGCAACAAAATAGAGGATGCCATCAGTAGCCTACCAACCCCCCAAAAGCCCAGAATGGGATGGATGCACAGCTGAGTTCTATAAGCTCTATAAATGAGAACTCACACTAATACTTCTCAAACCATTTCATGAAATAGAAAAAGAGGGAATACTTCCAAACACATTCTATGAGGCCAATATCACCCTGATTCCAAAACCAGACAAAGACTCACCAAAGAAAGAAAACTTCAGACCAAAATTTCTAATGAACATAGATGCAAAAATTCTCAATAAAATACTGGCAAATTGAATACAAAATCATATCAAAAAGATAGTGTGCCATGATCAAGTAGGTTTCATCCCAGATATGCAAGTTGGTTCAACATACAGAAATAAATAAATGTAATTCGTCTCATCAATAGGATCAAAGACAAAAATCCTATGATCATCTCAATAGATGCAGAGAAAGCATTTGACAAAATGCATCCCTTTATATTCAAAATACTAGAAAAACTAGAGATATCAGGAACATACCTCAACATTGTAAAGGTTAACTATGCTAAGGCCCATGGCAACATCTTTCTAAATGGAGGAAAAATAGAAAGCATTCCTTCTGAAAACTGGGAAAAGACAGGGATCCCCTCTTTCACCACTTCTATTTAACAGAGTTCTTGAAATTTTAGCCAGAGCAATCAGACAGATGAAAAAAATTAAAGGGATACACATAGAAAAAGAAGAACTCAAATTATCACTATTTGTGCACAATATGATTCTGTGCCTAGAAGACCCAAACCATTCCACCAGAAATGTTCTAGAACTAATAAATGAACTCAGCCAAGAAGCTGGATATCAAATCAACACCCATAAATCAAAGGTATTTCTGTATATCAGTGACAAATCCTCAGAAAGAGAAATGAGGAAAACCACCCCATTTACAACAGCCTCAAAAAAAAAAAAAAAATCTTGGGAATCAACTTAATGAAAGATGTGAAAGACTTCTACAATGAAAACTGCAGCATGCTAAAGAAAGAAATAAGACCTTAGAAGATGGAAAGAACTCCCAGGTTCTTGGATAGTCAAAATTAATATCAAAATGACCATACTACCAAAAGCACTGTACTGGTTCAATGCATTCCAATCAAAATCCCAATGGCATTCCTCACTGAAATACAAAAAGCAATCATGAAATTCATCTGGGAAAAATAAGAGACCCAGAATAGTCAAAGAGATCCTTAGCAAGAAGGATGAAACTGGTGACATCACTATACCAGACCTTAAACTATACTACAGAGCAAAAGTCACAAAAACAGCATGGTATTGGCACCAAAATAGACCTGTAGACCAATGGTACAGCATAGAAGACACAAAGACTAACCCACATAATTACAGTTATCTTATATTTGACAAAGCCACCAAAAATGTACATTGGATAAAAGATAGCCTGTTCAGAAAATGGTCCTGGGAAAACTGGAAATCCATATGCAACAAAATTGAATTTAACCCCTATCTCTCACCATGCACAAAATTCAACTCAAAGTCGATCAAGGACCTAGGAGTTAAACCAGAGACACTGTGACTATTAGAAGCAAAAGTAGGCCCAAATCTCCATGATGTCAGATTAGGCCTCAACTTCCTTAATAAGACTCCTATAGCGCAAGAATTGATATCAAGAATCCATAAATGGGATGGACTCAAACTAAAAAGCTTCTTGTCAGCAAAAGGAACAATCCGTGAGGTGAATATACAACCTATTAATTAGGAATAAATTCTTCCCGCATGCATATCAGATAGAGCACTAATCTGTATGATACATAAATCACTCAAAAACCTTAACACCAAAACTCAAATAGCCCAATCAATAAATGGGCCAAGGACCTGAAGAGATACTTCTCAGAAGAAGATATACAATAAATCAACAAATATATAAAAAAATGTGTAACATCTAAAGCAACAAGAGAAAAGCAGTCAGAATGGCAGCCATTAAGAATAGAAACAAAATTAAGTATTGCTGAGGATGTGGGGGAAAAGGTACACTCAGACACTGCTGGTGGGACTGAAAATTGGTAGAGCCAATATGGAAAGCAGTATGGAGATTCCTTGAAAAACTTGGAATGGAACCACCATTTACCCCAGCTAACCATCTCCTCAGTCTATACCCAAAGGACTTGAAATCAGCATATTGTAGTAACACAGCCACATCAATGGTTACAGCAGGTCAATTCACAATAACTAAATTGTGGAACAAACCTACATGCCTTTCACTAGATAAATGGATAAAGAAAATGTGGTAAATGTACACCATGGAATATTGCTCAGCATTAAAAGAGATTAAAATTATGACAGTTGGACTTAATGGATGGAGTCAGAGAACATCATGCTCAGAAAAGAAAGTCAATCTTGAAAAACCAAAGGCCAAATGTTCCCTCTGAGAAGTGGATGCTGATAAATAATGGGGGAGAGAGTGAAAATGAAGGAACTTTCACTGGACAAATGGGAGGGAGAGAAGAGGAGGGGAAATGGGGCTAGGAAAGATGGTGGAATGAGATGGACATCATTACCCTAGGTACAAGTATGGCTGCACATGGTGACTCTACATCATGTACAACCAGAGAAACAAAGAGTTGTGCTCCATTTGTGTACAATGAATTGAAAAGCTTTCTGCTGTCTTGTATAACTGATTAGAACTAATAGAAAGTAACCTAAAAAGAATGCCTCTCTTCTTTATAAATTGCCCAGTCTGTGGTCTTCCATTGTAGCAATAAAAAACAGAAAGACAGTGCTCCTGAGGGAAGCAGGAATCACGAACTCAGGGTTGAGCACCAGAGCCAGACACATTATCTCCCGTGGAGAGCTCGCTTCCCTCCAGACCCACGGAGAGCACAAACCAAGGCAATTCCTCCTCATGGCTGTTGGAGTAGAGGTCACTCGGAGGAACTACTGCTGGTACACTGTCCTCTAGCTAAAGGGTTCTTTACCTGCCATCTTGTTCCTTTCGTTCCTTTGTTATTAATAATCATATCTTGCTTTTCAAACCCCAAACCTAGCTCAGAATGTTATTCGAATAGAAGCTGCCATGAAGCTGCAGTATGAAGAAATGCATGACCTGACTCACTAGAGCAGTTGAGTAGAATCCAGGCTCCCCTGTCCAGGCTTCAGGTACTCCCTACCAGGGGTCCAGGAAAGGCCCTAGTCTCAGCAAGGAAGGGTATGTTTGGAAAAATAAAAAATAACTTGCTGCCCCTAGGTTTCACCTCTGGATGGACCAGCTCTATATGCCAGGGCAGTGCCATGCCACTCCATGCCAGAGCACAAACTACATGCTGCCTGTAACCACAGGATGCACAGGAGAGAGCAGAGAGCATCAGCACTCCACAGGCTTTCCCAAGTTAGCAGGTAAAGCAGACAGCCTGATATTTCAGAGAAAAGAGGAGAAAAGCAACATTTCCTGTATACATCTGCTTTAAAATTATAGCTTAAAAACTATGCTTAAAGTAAATAATAAATAAATAAGATTAGGACTTATTTATATAAAAAAATTAGAAGTCCCAGTCTCATAAATAAGTTGAAGTCATATAAAGCCTAGTCTTATAAATAAGTCAAGTCTAGTCTTGTAGCAAGTGCATCTCAATGTACAAATAACAAAAACACATTAGGTTTACAAGGCATACATGTGGAAAAGGAGTCTCTGATCTTCAATATCATTCTCCCCAGCCTAGTAGTAATAAGCGCTTTCCCTGTTAATTGGTGACGGTTTGATTTGGGAATCTGCATGTACATTCTTGCCTTCAGTGTGGTTAAGATGAATAGTATCCAATACACTTCATAATTTATTTAAAAATCTATATATAATGATTGATACTATCCTTATGAAATCATTCTGTCTTTAAAAAGGTCATCTATTGATTGGGTTATCTGTTTTTTGGTGCTTACCTTTTTGAGTTCTTTATGTACCCTAGAGATTAGTGCTCTATCTGATGTGTGAGGGGTAAGAAATTTCTCTCAAGATGTAGGCTCTCTATTCACCTCACAGATTGTTTCTTTTGCTGAGAAGAAACTTTTTAGTTCGAGTCCATCCCATTTATTGATGGACTCAATTAAATTAAAGATGTTAATTTAATTCTTGTGCTTTAGGAGTCTTATTCAGGAAGTTGGGGCCTAATCCCACATGATGAGGATTAGGGCCTCCTTTTTCTTCTATTAGATGCAGAATCTCTGGCTTAAGTCCTAGGTCCTTGATCCACTTTGAGTTGTGTTTAGTGCATGGTGAGAGATAGAGATTTAATTTCATTTTGTTGCATATAGATTTCCAGTTTTCCCAGCACCATTTGTGGAATATTACTCAGCAATAAAAGACAATAAAATCATGGCATTTGCAGGTAAACAGATGGAGTTGGAGAAAATAATAGTAAGTGAAGTTAGCCAATCCCAAAAAACAAATGCTCAATGTTTTCTCTGGTATAAGGTGACTGGCCATAATGAGGTAGAGAGGGGTGCATGGGAGAATAGAGTTCTAGATAGGGCATAGTTGTGGGAGGGGAAGGGAGGAAGGAGGGGGTTAGCAATGACGGTGAAATGTCAATCCATATCCAAAGTACACGTAAGAAGACATGAATTGGTGTGACGAAACTTTATATACAAGCAGAGATATAAAAATTGTGCTCTATATGTGTAGAAAGAATTGTAAGACTTACTACACTGATTCCACTGTCATGTATTAAAAAATATAAAATCAATTAAAAAATCATCATATTTGGTGCTGCGGAATAAACCCAGGACTGCATAGCTAGTAGGCAAGGGCTCTACCACTGAGATATACTCCCAACCCATTAAAAAAATCAGTTGTGGGGTTGGGCCTAGAGCTCAGTTGTATAGTGCTCACCAGGTAAACCTGAGACACTGCATTTGATCTTCAAAAATGAATAAAAGAAAAATGTATTGAGACCACCTAAAACTACAAATATATATCAGTTTTGACACCTTCCTCACATAACAAGTTATGTGATCTCAGCATGTTAGGAAGGGGTCAAAACTGACTTGATACCTGAAGAAGTTGGATGTAACCTAACTTTTGCTATAAAGATATTAATGACCAACATAGAATAAGGTAAAGATTATAAGATGTTCCCTAAGTGGAAGACGCCTTAACAAGCAAGGTTATCTTTCTTCCCATTTCTCTATGTCTTTAATTTCATTTTCTTGCCTTATGACTTTAGCTAGCAACTCAGCAAGATGTTAAAAAGAAGTAGTAGGAGAGGAGACACTTGATTGTTCCTGATCTTAGTGGGAAAGTTTCAAGTTTATTATCATTAAGAATGTGGTAGGGGTGATATGGCAGCCAACGCCCAGGTGGCAGGGGCAGCCTGCCAGCTGGGAAAACTTGCTAACACTGGGCTAGAAGTCACCCAAGCCCGAGGGTGGAAAGTGGAGAGAAGAGCCCAGGCCCCGTGGGGGTGACTGGGCCACTGGTGGCTAGTCACTGGCGCAAGCACAGGCCAGGCCTCTGCATTTCTAGGCAGAAAGCAACAGTTGGCAGGAGCCCCGCCCTGCACAGAATTCTGAGTGTTTGGGTCATAATTGAACCCCCAACATTCCAGGAGTTTCAGAGCAGAGGTGGATAGAGACGGAGGTGGTTTTCAGAGTGGGTCTGGTGGCTCACTGAAATTGGGAAGATGTCATCCTGGTTTAGGGGCCTAGGCTCCAGCTGGGGCCACTCCTTGGGTCAGGTGGGGCACAGCTTGGCTTCCCTCACAGGCCATAAGTCCAACGTCACTGAGGACGAGGTTCTCGACAATTTTGAGGATGTAGAAGCAGGTTTACCTAGTTATTGGAGAAAGAACATTGAAGATACCAAAGGGATGATCAGATATGAAAATGAAAGACTTAAAAATTATTGTACTGACCTGGAAGAAAGGTATGCAGCATCCAAGCTACGGATCCAACATCAATCTGCAAATTACCGAAATGAACTGGCACAGAAAGAAGTCGAAATCAGGCAACTGAAAGCAAGACAGTTTGTACTAGAGGATGAGATGCTGCAACTGAAGTCAGCTGCCCAACCACTGCATTCAGGAGCTGGTGGTGTACCATCAACCACTGCCCTGTCTTCATTCGGTCATGACATCAGTCATGGTTCAGCTTTTCTAGGTGATGACATGGACTTCAGTGACATCATTTCAGCACAACAAGAAATCAACAGACTGTCAATTGAAGTTTCAAGACTCGAATTCGAAGTTGGCCATTGGAGCGCTATTGCTCAGGCACAGCAAACACACAATTCGGATCAATGTGAAATCTGCCAACTACAAAATACTATTAAGCTGCTTGAACAAAACCGAAATCAAGACCTTGATAATCATCAAGGTGAAATTGCAGTTTTGCAGAATGTACATCAACAGAAACTGGCAGAGATGAGTCACCTGTATCGAGAGGAAATAAATGACTATGAAGAAAGAATTAAAAAACTTGAAAATCAGTTACAGCAAAGTGACTTGGGAGTAACAATAACTGATGAGTCTAAAATCTGTGACTTGCAAAAAACGATTCAGGTTCTACAAACTGAAAAACTAGAGTCTGCCAGGAAGATCGAAGAACTTGAGGATCAACTAAAAGACATAAATGAACAATTATCTTTGGCACAAAATGACACAGAGGTCTTGAAGAGAGAAAAAGAGCAGCTCAGTGTGGAAAAGCAACAAATAATGGAACAGTGTGAAACCTTGAAGCTGGAATGGAGTCAATCGCAGCCTTCTGTGATGGAGCAGAAAGAGGAGGAAATTGGGAATTTGCGGAAAACCAGTGAACAAATAAAAGCCCAGTTGCAGGAAGACACACACAACACTCCAGCAGACAATTCTGATAGTTTTCAAAAAACAAAAGTTAAAAGTTTTCGTATAGAAAGCAGAAGTGAAAAACAAGACCTGTGTAACCATGAAACTGTAAAAGGAGTGAAAGGAATCCAACAACAGGAACTTGAAATTCAACTTGTAAATGAAAAGAGTAGATTTTTAACCAACCAGATTGATCAGCTGTCTGAAGATGAAGTTGGAAAACTCACTCAAGCTATCCAGCAACAAGCTCTTCAGGCTAAAACTTATTCAGGAAAACTTGATATGATTCCACCCCAGCTCTTGGCTGCGTCATCATGTACCTCCCAGTCATCAGAGGTCAGAGAGCTGAGACAATCACTGCAAGAAAAAGAGGCCACCATTAGGATGCTCCAGGAAAATAATCACAGGTTGTCTGATGCAACTGCTGCTGCCACAGACAGAGAAAACAAAAAAATATGAAGAAATGGATTCCGAAATTAAACAGCTAAAGGAAGAACAAGATGTGTTAAAAACTTTACTGAAGGAAAAAGACCTCTTCATCCAAGCCAAAAGTGATCAGTTTCTTTCTTCTGTTATAGTTAAAGCTTTGTCCCAGGGTTTCATAAACTGACTTCCAGACCACTCACGTATAATCGAATCAAGCCTTTATTGAAGCACACCAGTGGCAGCTGACCAGAACATAAAGCTGTTCCCCTGATCAGCCCTGAACAATTGCAAGGGCACTCCTTATAAGCCTGAAAACCGCAAAAGGGATGTTCAGGGGGTCTAGCCAATGCAAGCAAGCCAGGTTACAGAAGCAGGACAGTGCAGTCAAGCGGAGGGAAGCCTAACCAATCACATTTAGCCCAGTCACCCCAGTTACAGAAACAGAGCCCCATTACCCTAGTTACAGAAACAATGCCCCATTAGGTAGTTCCAGTTCTTAAAGGTTTCAATAGCAAAAGGAAAAGAACATCTTGCCCCAGTCATGACTCTTCTACTTGGCATGGTTGTTTACAGGATGAAGTTATAAAACAAAATGGAGTCACATTTGCTCCTACTATCACACTTCAAATGAAAAGCTCACTGACAAAGTGAATGAAAACGAGTTGTTGAGGCAAGCAATAACAAATCTAAAAGAGAGAATATTAAATTTAGAAATGGTCATTTCTCAACTCAAAGGGGAAAATGAAAAAATGATAGAAACACCCCAAGAAAAAGAAATGGAGTATCAAGCATTACAAGAGATGAACATGAAGTTCTCTGTGGTCCTGCTAGAACAAGAGTACGAGTGCCAGTCCATGAAGGAGCAAGCTCTTGCCTTTGAGCAGCTGTTACTAGAAAAAGAAGATGGCAAGGCTGGGGACTTCAGTCAGCTTTTAAAAGCACTTGAATCCATGCAGGAGAAGACCTTCTTTTTTCAGCAGGAGAGAGACCAAGTCACCTTGTCTCTAAAGCACCAACCGATGGCACACCGGACCTTAGAGCAAGAGGTTCAACACTTACGTGACAAAGAATTACACTTAAAGCAGGAGGTACAAAGCCTGAGGAGCCATCTTCTAGAATCAGAAGATTCTTACAGCCGGGAAATTGGGGCTGCAGAGAAGAGAGAGAGGAACCTGAGAGAGAAAGTCACACTATTGGAGGAAAAGCTGCTCTCCTCTTCTAATGCAAGTCATCAAGCCAGTGTGCAGGTAGAGTCCCTGCAGAAACAGGTGCGTTTCCTCTCCCAAGAGAGGGATGAGAACGCACTGCAGCTTTCGCTCTACCAGGAACAAGGAAAGCAGTATGCCATGTCACTCACTAACCTGCAAAAGGTTCTAGAGCATTCCCAACAAGAAGAAAAAGCTATGTATTCGGCTGAATTAGAGAAGGAAAGACAACGTACCACCAAAAGGAAGTAAAAGGCAGAAAATCTAGAGAGGTATCGTTATTACAAGAATGCTTGGATGAAGCCGACCGTGTGTTGGATACAGCAACCAGACCTACACAACACTTCCATCAAAATGAAGAACAGATCGAACAAAGTGAGCTCCCACGAGAAATATTGGACGATGCCCAAAAGAAATGGATGAGCTCGGAAAATGGCACAGAAGGAAAAGTGGACAAAGCCCTAATGAGAAACCTGTTCATTGGGCATTTCCAGACACGGAAAAATCAGCGTCCCAAAGTGTTAAGGTTAATGGGAAGCATCCTGGGCATTCAAAAGGAGGAAATGGAGCAGTTTGAATGGAGATGATGGTGGTGTTACTAAGTGGATGATGGGATGGCTTGCAGGAGGATCCCAATGTGTCCCCAACACACCTTTGACACCAAATGAGCAACCTGGGCTGAAGAGTTCTTTTTCAGAACTTTTTGTCCAGTTTCTGGAAACAGAATCTCATTCATCCATTCCATCACCAAAACTTTCTGCTCATGCCATGAAGTGTCTAGACTCCAGAGGAAGGAGAAAGGAACGTGCCAATGTACCAAGAAGTGTGACAGACACAGCAGAGTTCAGAGCTGGTAAAAGAGAGGCTGTGAATCCATTCTTGGCATTGCGTTCTGCGGTTGTGCCACTGGTTAGCCTAGCTGGACTTGGACCTGGTGGACCTGGGAATCTCCTTTTGAATCCCATCTCAGACTTCATGACCACCTTTACACCATTGCCAGTGTCGCTGGACAATAGCGCCAGGGTTGTACTAAAGGACCTTTGAAAGCAATTCAAAGTGATTCTCAAGCCAGAGATGAGTTAGCACTTTAAAGAATAAATAAATATTTTGTTCTTTTTATGAGGTGGCCTTTTCAAAGAAAAGAAGTGATGTATTTGTAGGGACAAAAAAAAAGTTGATACATAAAGTACCAGGTATTTTGTCTCCCCCTCCCCATTTTTAGTGTGTGTTTGTTTGTTTGCTGTAGCACTGTTTTAAAATAAATTTTTCTTTGTTTACCGTAGTCCTCTTTTTTATGTGATATTTTGCTCTGATGCTATCAGGTAATCAACAGCAATAATAACCATAGCTCCAATCCCTTTTTTTAGGATTATATTTGTTACATTTAATTATATTAAGATGATAATGATACATTTATATATCAGACAGAATAGAAGAAAAATCCAACCCATATGAAACCCATATGAAAAAGATACATACTTCAGAATTTGGGATAGCTAAAAACAAAATATGATGTAGCAAAAAGTTGTAAATTCATTAGTTTATAAAAGAAAATACTGTATAACTACTAAACGAAAATTACAGTGGGAAGGGCCTGAACATGAAATTTAGTGGATAAACTCTAAGATTCTTTTAATCCAAACACCATGACACCTATCCATTTTACTTCATTCTATAAAAAAGTCACTTGACCTTCATTTCATTTTTTAAATGTTAAATATGTCCAGAACGAAGATGACTTTTGTCAGTCAGACCCAAAGTATAATCACATGCATCCTTTTTAATTTGTAAGAATGTATCATAAAATACCGGGACTGTTTACATACTTTACTGGGCCCTACAGTAATGCTTATAAACACATTTAAAAAACATTTGATCAAGATAAGAAAGTGGGGAAGAGAAATAAATTAATACAAAGTTTGAAAGATAAAAAAGTTAAGAAAGGAGTAGTTAAAACCTTTTTTATTTTTGTAAATTAAGATAAAAGATAAATCTAAAGTTTCTAGCTTAAGTCAGTTGACATCAGAGAAGTGAAAAAGCAGTTTATGTAGCAAATGCTTCTCTGACACCTGTAATTTCTAAAACCCTTGAGAACATTGTTGTTAAAATTAATTCAAATAAAATTCAATATAAATTAAATTATTTAAAATAAATCAAATAATTTAATATGAATTAATTTCATTAATTTAAATTATTAATTTGATTATGAATTTAATTTTGTTAATTTATTAATTTAATTTTATGTATTAATTTAATAAAATTTATTTATATTAAATTATGATTCATATTTAATTTTTTAAAATTTCATTAAGAGTAGTTTAATAAAATTAATTTAAATAAATTTTAATATAAATCAAATTATTTAATATTCATTATATAATTTAATATGAATTTTAACAAAATTAAATTAATTTTGATAAAATATTCTGAATGGTTTTAGAAATTGCGGGTGTCAGAGAAGTATTTGCTATATACTCTACTTTTTTTCCTTCTTCAATTTCACCTAACATGCTGAAAAGTTTTGATTTATCTTTTATCTTAATCTACAAAAATAAAAAGTGAAGACAATATACGTAGTGGCCAAATATATGAGCTTTTCCTTTCATTTTTAAATTTTCTCTCAGTTTCAGCTTCTCATTTCTTTATTTGATTTTCAAGCTTCTTTAGGATAGGGACATGTGGTTTATCTTTTAACCTCAAGCAATTTACAAATAGAAAAGGAAGTACTACTTGTGGTTTCTTTAATAGTACACAAAATGTACCTGAAGCAAATATTAATCTTCTTTAGAAGAATTTTTATCAAAAGTCTGAGAATAAGATTTCCCACACCGGTCCCCTACAACTCTGTGTATGTGGTTCTCTGTGACTTCATCATGCATATAGGTTGATGTGATGACCACCACAACAGCCACCAGACACACTTGCATCCTAAGGATCAGTGAAATCACGTCTTTGCACCAATACCAGCTGTTTAGAACTTAAGAATAAGAGTACTTCTTTAATTTTTACAGGCCCATTATACAAAAATTCCTGACTTGAAACTTAAGTTTATGAGGATGTACATATTAGTACTTAGAAGTTGTACATTGAAGAGCTTTTTCTTGCAGATTTTGTCAATATAGTTATGCCTTAGAGAAACATTTGTATAGCAAGAAAAGGTGAAAACAAGAGTAGTTCAAATATGTAAAGAGCTCTGGCTCCAACTAGAGTGAAATTTGATTGTCAATTTTGCTGTGATTACTGTATATTTCTAATGTATTTGGAAGACTGGAAGTTTTGATTATGTGTTGATGGTTAAAACTTGTTTTTTCAAAAAATTAACAGGCGACACTGCTTCACACAGTGTCACCTTTCTTCTTAGCTCACTTATTTAAATTATCATTCTTCCATACATTGTAAAGGAATTTCCCATAACGGTTCATATGAGAAATGTTCAACTGCCTCTGGAGCTCTGCCCGGTTGGTATGATAGATGCTCCTCTACTTAACCCTACTTTAAATGAAAACATCTCAAATTGAAAATGCACGCACCACACCACGTGCCTAGAAGCACAGTGCTCTGCAGTGTGATGCTTGCTTCCCCTGATGATCCTGTCACTGTTGGGCAGCTGCCACTCACTGCTGCTGACCCCACCAAGAGGGTGTTGTGCTGTATATTGCTAGCCCGGGACAAAGGAAAATCCAAAATCTAAAGTAGGAATTCTACTGGACATGTCCTACTTTTGAACTAACAAGAAATTGAAAAATCTTTTTTTAAATAAAAACATTTTTACCTTTTGTTATAATTAAATTAGAGCATTTATCTGTTTTCCAGCTTATTATCTCCTATAAGGATGAAAGAGTTACCCCAATTTCTTTCACATTACACAGGAAATTTGGAGATTTACAGCTCTGTGTATGTGGTTCTCTGCAATTTCCTCATGCATATAGGTTGAAGTGACCACCACCACCAGAGCCACAAGACACACTTGCATTCTAAGGACCTCTAAAATCACTTCATGGCACCAGCTCCAGCTGTTTGCAACTTAAGAATTTAAGTATTTCTTTAATTTTTATAAGCCCATTATAAAATATCCTGACTTGAAGTTTAGTTATATGAGGATGTTCATATTTATACTTTGAAGTTGTACATTGAGGATTTTTTTTGGCGGATTTTATAAACGTATATGCCTTAAAATAAAAACCTTTTTTTTTTCTTTTTTTTTTTAAAGTTGGTTTATTGGTTCTTTCATTTCAAGGATTTCTGTTTGAGTTTTTGTTTGTTTGTTTGTTTGTTTTTAGAATCTCTATCTCCCTACTGAAGTAATCTTTTGCTTCCTATATTTGTTTATGTAGCTCTTTGTCGAAATGATCTTTTGCTGCCTGTATTTGGTCTTTTATATCATCCTTTAATTTGCAGAACATTTTAATTATGTACATCCTGAATTCTTTCTATCATATCTTCTTCTGTGCTGGCCATGGATTCTAATAATATGGTGTCTTGATTTGTTTGGGACCCTTTCTTCCCTTGTCTTTTTTTTTTTTAAGAGACACAGAGAGAGAGAGAGAGAGAGAGAGAGAGAATTTTTTAATATTTATTTTTTAGTTTTCGGTGGACACAACATCTTTATTTTATTTGTATGTGGTGCTGAGGTTCGAACCCAGCGCCCCGCGCATGCCAGGCGAGCACGCTACCGCTTGAGCCACATCCCCAGCCCTCTTCCCTTGTCTTTTCATATTGCTTGTGTGTCTTCCCTTCTAGCACTGTGGATCCTAGGCATTATCACTTTTACCCTACAGGCTTACAGTGCCCCTGTAGGGATCCAATACCTCTCCTTTGAGGTGAAGGAGAATGTTATCAGATCCCAATATAAACAATACACACCCTAAAAACAAATGTTTACTAATAAGATGTTTACATTTGGTTACAATAAACAGATATTGTGAATTCAATTATTATCTACAATAAACTCAATAGGTTTGTAAAAGTGTTTACTGTTTCTGATGGTAGACAAAGAACCAGGGGTGAGGAGTAGGATTATATGCTGAGGAGGTAGGAGGTGAGGATTTAGAGTTGTTATATCTTAGGAAGTGTGAAAGAGAAATCTAAAGAGGAAAGTTAGTAGCAGGAGAAAGGAGAGGAAGTAAATTTGGGTAGACAAGTAAGTGGGAAGATAGTAGAGTACATAAAACAAACACACATATATCAAGAAAAATTAAAAAAATGTTAAAACAGCAGAAATTGGTGGGAAAAAAATTAAAAAGGATGTACAACACAACTATAATGTACTATTCAGACATCCCAGTCCTCAAAGTCCTAATTCATGCAAAGTACTTGGTTTTACATATTTTGGGGATGTGAGGTGGAGGGAGAGAGGATGAGGGAAAAAAAATCTTGAAGGAAGACACAGGGCTTGTTTCGGTTGGAGATCAATATCTTTCCCGCTTCCCTTCTCATCCAATAGGTCAGGTTGTCTGTTGTTAGCTGGTATCTGTGCCCTCAGGATGGTGAAAGTACCAGGGTGTCACTGTGCCAGGTTAGCGGATGCTGGGGAGATGGGGAGTTAGAAACTGGGTACCTAGAAGATGGTGATGATTTTATTTTTTAAACATTTGACCCAAGATGGAGGATCCTAGTTTCAGTGGTGGGATGTCAAGTCGGGTGGGCGGATCCTGGTGATGGGGTTGGATGATGAGTTCAGCCACGACCTCTGTGGCTTGCAGTGTGGGCTTATTTCAGAGCCTGTGTGAAATTCCCAGCTGCAGGCAGGCCACTGCACGTAGAGGACTGTGTCCACTGCTGCAGAGTCCCAAGATAGCAGTGACTAGGGGAGCCCCAAGTTGGTAGATGGGGTCCGGAGGTAGAGGTGGTGGCCGGAGTTCCTACTCATGGGAAGCTGCCAGGTGTCCTCCATGGAAGCAGCATCCGTCATTTCTGCTAGGGTGGGTGGCCCAAAGTTATTTGCGGGTGCTGCTGCCACCACTGATGGCCTCACTCAGATACCGGGTAGTCCAGCATAGGCGAGTAGTTGGGAGACCTCCCACTAACTGTATTTTTCTTAATTGATTTTATTTTTTAAACATTTGACAGCAGAATGCATTATA